GAGTAGAACTGCCCCTTAGGGTTTCCAAGTTTGTAAATCTTTACAGAAACAGTCTGCCTCATCTTTCTGCCACTGAGTGGCTGGTGGGTTTGAACCACCAATCTTTTAGTTAGCAGCCAAATGCTTTAACCACTGTGCCACCAGAGCTCCTTGAAGAGCTCAAAGGAGCAGCTTGATTCCTTAAAGAAGGGGAAAGGTCATATCCTACAGGCATTTCAGTCATACACTGTTGACATTGTCAAGAACTCCAGAACATCCACTACATAACTAAATAAATATTTTATTTTCCTTAAGTTTATACAAAATACAGTCATGTACAAAAAATGTACATAACATGTCTTATCAATGAACATTTTAATGAAGGAAAATGGCAATTCCAAATACTTAATGTTTACATGCCATGTAAACATTATTCTGGGCCTATATCACTGATGAAAATTTTCTCTCTTCTGGAATAGAGATGTACATGATTTACAGTTGCTTTCAGATTAAGAATGGGATCTGCCAAATCTAATTCTCAAGCCATGAATGTGATCATACCTGGCCTGACTCCAGGCAAAAATGAGTTTCACTATAGACGTGACTACAACTTCCTAGTGACATGAAGTTGTAATTGCACCTGGATTTCCGTTTTACAATACACACCTGTGTAACTCTGCAGTTCTGATCTCCACTTACATACATAACATATGGCGTTGCCGTGAGTTGGAATTGATTTGATGGCAATGTTTTTTATTTCTTGGTTTATTAGAAAAGATCACTTATGGAAGCATATAGATGTCCACGGAGACACCTCCATTTGGGAAGGTTGCCAGTGTCATGGTACAGTGCCAGATATATGCATTAATCTTGCTTGGAGCTTGCTGTGTCAGCCACCATTTGAGGAAGTGCCAGTTTGCAAAATTCAAATACATAAAAATTTGAAACCATGTTTAGCTGGTCTGTTGACTAAATGTACTCTTTAGCTTAAAGCACAAATAGGAGAAAAATAAAAGAAGGGAATTTATAAAGGAAGTGAAAACAAAAAAACAAATCCACTGCCATCAAGTTAATTCTGACTCATAGCGACCCTCCAGGGCAGAGTAGAACTTTCCGGTAGGGTTTCCCAAACTGTAAATCGTAGCAGAAGCAAACTGTCTCATCTTTCTCCCGTGGATTCAAACCGCTGGTGGATTTAAACCGCTGACCTTTTGATTAACAGGCACATGTTTTAACCGCTGTGCCACCAGAGGTATTAAGGAAAGGATAGGAAAGCACATTCTGGTTTGTCAGAAATATGGGCTTCAGAGGAAACACTGCTTCAATGTGTGGGTGTAGTTTTTCTCTCTCATGATACTGAAAAGGAACATGGCAAAGGTATTGAGGTTGCCCCACCTAGGCAAAAGCGAAAACCAAAAATCCCATGAAGCAGTGGATCAGGAAGAACCCCTCTTGAAAGCAAAATAAATTTAGACTACAACTTGCTTTTCACAAAGCAGTTAATAATTTATGAATTTGAACTCTAAATATACCATCATATGTAGTAAACGTTATTACCCTTAAGAAAAATGGCATTTTGGGGATCAGATTAAGAATCTTTAAAAAATGAATCAACAAACTTTAAAATTTGGTTTTCATGTAAATATATGATCAGTTCTGGATGCTGGGCTGAATTCTGTCTACTAAGAATTAGGCAACCTTCACAGAGAACCAGTTCAATGACATCATGGCCAGCCCTTCCTGATGAGAATAAACCAAAATATTCACCTTATAAGGAATTCCAGGCTCAAATTAGCAAATCCGCAACCACCAGGAGGCTGGCTCTAAGACCACTGGCCCCAGGGCATCTCAGTGCAATATATATGACAAAAGCCAGAAATGCCACACCTGGGAGCAGGCACACCCTGCAAGAGGTTCTTCCTCAGCCACGCAAGCATTGCATCAGAATGAGGCAAAGAAAAACTATCTTGATGTTACTAGTAGAGATCCCTGCCTTAGTGACGAATGGTAATCTTTAACTTCAATTTGGCAATCAACACCAGACATAGAAGAAATCTTATCTAATTATTAGCTCACAATGTGTTACAGTTTTTTTTTTTTTTAAAGTTAGTTTAATTCTTCAGTTTGAAATTTGATTTTTCATGAGAATCTTCCCTGAATTGGAAGATCACCTGGAGTGTGTGGGCTTTCTTACAAGCCCAGTGATTGAGTAATTTCCGCTATCTTGAAAAACTTCTAAGCAGGGCCTCATCCAGAACCTTGCACATACATATCTTGGAAATTGACATCCTAAGTATAAATGATTCAAAGATGAAATGCAGTAATTATATCATCCTTAACACAAACATCTATTTCAGTGTTTACTCCAGAGTAAGCATAATAGAAGCAAGTGCCTGTGGAAATGACAAGCCTTTGCCATTTCTTAATTCTTATAATCATACAATCAAGTTTATTCACCCTTAACCTTTACTTATCATTGTTATTAAGTAACCCTTAACATTTATTTGTTGGCATGTGCTAATAAACACACACACTTCCAAGAGAGCAAAGGAAAAATCCCAGTCCAAAGTATTCTGTCTGTGTGAAGCCAATTAAACTGCCTCTAGTGTCTTGAGGTTTTAGGCTGCAGAAATGGTTGCTGTGGAAACAAATTTGCCTCGGTATTTCTGGCCGAGCCAGAAGCTACTGAGTAACGTATCTTCAAACGGGATCAAGCATAAACATATTCCCCTCCCCCTCTTAACTTGGGCTCCAGTCTATGAAGTACACAGGTTATTAAAAATTACAAAGGAAGACACAACAATCCATACACAATTTATTTTACTGTAACTCAGTGTTGTTTTTTTTTTTTTCTTTGAGTCAATCATACAAATTTGAACAGGAATTCCTGAATATAGCTTTCAGTTAATTTACCTTTGGCAGAAACAACAGATTTCAAAACATTCAGTAATTGGTTTCTCCTATCACCTTTTTTTTTTTTTTATCCCGCAGCGTATTTTTCAACAGTACTCTTAAACAGATGTGCTTAAAAGTTAACTGGTAATGATTTGATTTATATTATAGCTTAAGATAACAGTTACTTTAAGAGGACAGACTAGACATGTATCTCTTTTAAAAAATACAATTTTTGGTCATGTGTATGATTCACGTTCAGATTTCAAAAATAGAAAACATCCTAAAGTGCATCATTTTATTTATAACTCCTTGAAATTTTAGCGATCTGCAATGTAAACAGTAGAGCAAAGAATAACCAAACTAGATTTTCATGTACATTTAAATTTGTGGGATTATGTACCATCTTTAAGTGTGTAGATTAACACCAGGGCACTTCCAACACAGCTCATGCTTCTACATGATTATTTTGAAGAGCAAACTTAAACGCATTCTTTTTTCCCTCGACCTAAACAATTTTTAAGTAACTGACAGAGGACAGCTGCCACCTCACTTCAGCAATGGAAAATGTTGTAAATCCAATCTGACCACAGAATTTCTTAAGAACTCATTTTGAAACTGACAATCATTAGTACAGTTTTAGGTTTTCTTTCTCTCTTTTTATTTGTGGGGGGGAGAAAAGACACACTTTAAGAGAGCAACTCTCAAGATATACAGGAAGGCATCCCTGATGTCCTGCTCATCCTGCAACATTATCTTCCAAAAGCAGAACCTGCTGAAATGCATGGCTGCCATGTGCACACATGTATGCCAGGACCCAGAATGGACAGGCTGGACCAGAACCCACTTTCCTCAGTGCATAAACAGAAGGTTAAAAAGTAGCAATAAATCACAAAGTGATGCTAGCACACTGAAGAGATGAATGATTTGGTATCTTAAGTCCCCTGGTCCCTCCAAAATATCTAATACAGACAGATTAGCACAATCTTCAAAACAACTATAATCATAATTGGCCACATACCATCCTTTCTTCTCTTTACAAAGATCCAGCATCATCTTGAAAACAGTGTGATGTAGATTCTGCCTTGGGGTGAGCTCTGATAGATTCTGCCTTGAGGTGAGCTCTGAGGACTTATTTACCCTTCAGTTTGGGGATTTTTAGTGGAGGTTTACTTTTTTTAAAAAAATTCTGGTAAGTACTCAGTAGGCTGAGAATGCAGACTCTGTCTTCCCCATGATCCTCTACACTCAGGTTAAGAATTCAGCAAGACCCTTTATGTTTGGCTAGTGTCAAAATGAAACTAAACCCCCAAAAGGCTGTGATACACACGCTGGCCCTTTAAAAAGCTGAGACTGAGGAGGGAGTGCAGTCAATGCTCAGGAAAGAATTCGCCAGGCTCTTCACCCTGTTACCTGATTTAAAAATAATCACAAACACAGCTATTGCTACAATCCTTCTGTCCTGTGCAGATAATCCAGTTCTCATCAGGGACCAAAATTTTCTGTCAGCTGAGGACATCCTGAAGAAATACCATCATTAATAGATTACTGCACTGCCATTCTGGGCAGATGCGGGTTCCATCCACCTGAGAGCGGAAGAGGAAAACCAACAAATTCACACCAGTGGGAAAGGTGTATAGGTCACTAGAATGGCCAAGGCAGCAAGCAGGGCTCTCCAACGCACATCCACATGTAAAGGGCTCCAAGGAGAATACAAGTCTCCACAGCAAGTTCGCTCTATGAAATGAAGTCCTGAGCTTGTTTTGATCACAGTTAGACAGAGAATGGTCTCATGTTTCTCAGTTCTCCAGGGGAAGAACAGTGTATATTCTCTGTAGATGAGTGTGTCTAAATGTAGTGATTCATCACTGGTAGTGTTAGTGAACCTTCGGCTACAGTTTTGTGTCTGTGTTTGCATGCATGCGTGTGTGTGTGTGTGTGTGTGTCTGTACAGGAATCTTGACTTTCCCATTACAAAATTCCCAAGTCAGGTCAAGTTGCCATCTTCCATTTAGGCAGTCTCTAAGGCAAGCAATGGAAATGGGAGAAGATCCCAGTGGCATGGAGGCAAAAGGGCTGCATGCTCTGCAGGTCCAGGAAAGCCTTCCTTGTATTGTCTGATCCCAGTTCCAAGGATGCCTTCCAGTTTCTACAGAGCTGCCATTTACCATAGGAGGCAGCTGGTAAATTCACCCTGCATTAGCTCAGCCACTGTGGCCGGGCTGGGACTGTCTCCTTACATGGATTTGGAATCAGTGTCTCTCTTGCTGATGAGCACCTCCAACAGCCTCAGTTTCGCTTTTATGTGCTTGTATTCGTTGTATTCTTCAGCCATAGGAGTGCGGTCTTCCTTCTGGACATTTCTAATGGAAACAAAGGACGAGAGGGCAGAGAATCATTCTCTGTCTTTCCTAGATGATATTGTTCATCAGGTGAACTATCATCATGAGGAAACTTCGCTCTCAGCTTTCAGAATCAGTGTTACCAAATGTCACTTGGTCTCAAGATTAGAGCTGGATTTAGACAAGCAGTGAAAGACAGCTTCCCCCAGAAGACACCATGTGACTGAGCTTTTATGCAGTTAATGTCAATGTGTAGAATTACCTGAAGGACTAAGAAATGCAGCAATTTTCTTTCTCTGCTTTTAAGTATGAGTTCACAATAAGGGTCTCATTTATTCATCATTTTAACTTAATGCTTTTTCATTTTTACATATTTCATCTAATGAAATTGATAAAATTTCTAATTAGCAATTAGTATACCCACAATTTACGTATCTTAAAAAACGCTCAGATAATATTGGTACTTATAAAATTAATTTTGAAATTTGGCAGTTGGATCACGATTCTAATAAGCCCTGCACTCATCGTTTACTAAGCTATTTTCTAAGCATATTTTTATATGCACAACAACTATTAATTGAAGGTGAAGCACTGTGCCAAGCACGTCATAACCACGACCTAATATAACCCTCACAACAACTTGATGAAATGGAGCTATTGTCCACATTCTACATATAGGTTCCCACCAGGACGGGAAGTCAGGTAGACTTCACTGCAAAGCCACTGCTCTTACCCAACACACAGTCCTGGGTCTCATTTCACTTTGAAATGCAAAAGTCAAATATTCAAAGATGAGGCTTCCTTTTTTCCTTATTAAAGAGGAAATACAGGAAAAATTTATTTAATTTGTTCAATGAACTAAACAGAAATGGATTTTATTTGTGCCTTGCCTTGTTCTAGGAAAGAATTCTTGGAGCTTCACAGTAGAGGGAGAGTGATGGGAATAGCAGATTAGGAAGGAGAACATCTGACAGGCTAGTCCTAGTTGTGTGCTTTGAGAGGTTTCATTTTGCTCAGACATGAAATAATGGAATCAGATTCTATGGTATCCTTAGTCATCTGCAATTATAAATAACTATAATTAAACCCACTGCCATGGAGTCGATTCTGACATGCAGTGATTCCCATTGGGTTTCAAAGGCTGTAAATCTTTATGGAACTAGATTGCCTCCTCTTCCTCCCATGGAGCAGCTGGTGGGTTCGAACCGCCTACCTTTTGGTTAGCAGCCTAATGCTTTAACCACAGTGCCATCACAGCTCCTTCCGTAATAATTAATACCTATCAATGATCCTTTCTTAAAACTTTTTTATATTTTTCCTTAAAACTTGTACAGGTTACATAATTAAATATTGTTGCTCATGTGCAGGATACCTATGTATGATGTGACTATAATTACATGAAAAAAAGAGAAACCAAAAATACAAAACAAATGTAAAAACACAAACACAAATACAAAATAAAAAATACAAAAAGACTGGGACAAAACACATCAAAACAATAAATATGGTATGTCTTTTGGTATTACTTCTTTGGGTATTATTATTATTTTCTCTTCTTTACCTGTGTATCTATATTTTCTAATATTCTACAGTGCATAGGAAAAGAAACACAAACACTTAGGCATAAAAATGTATATAAATCTTTTGAAAGTGATTACAAGACAGATCCAAATCAGGGATCCTAAATATAAATTTATATAGTAATTGAAATAAACTGGAATTTAATGTATTTTAAATGCCAAAGTTAATTTGTATGTTGCATTTATTTTTGAGTATTTTCCAGAAACACAAAAGAGGACTTAAAAGAAATTATATATACATAGTTTACAGAATTTGGATTAGAATAAAATCAACTCAAAATGATGAAACTTAACTCCAGCATAAAACCCACCCAAAACCCCACTGCCATTGAGTTGATGTCGACTCATAGAGACCCTATGAGACAGAGGAGAACTGCCCCATAGGGTTTCCAAGGCTGTAAATCTTTATGGAAGCAGAATGCCTCATCCTTTTCCCGTGGAACAACTGGTGGGTTCAAACCGCTGACCTTTTGTTAGCAGCTGAATGCCATAACCACTGCACCACCAGAGTTCCTATATAACTCCTATACCAGTGATGCAAATCTATTTCCTTGTTCTATTCTTGGGCTCATGATGTGGTTTTGGGTTCACTTGCAAACATGGAAGACTATTTACTTCTCAGTATAATGATATATGAGGATGATTAAATTATACCTTAAAACTTACTGGAGAAAGGCAACTTACCAACCAGATGGATTTACTGCTTCTCGCGCATATTTTTTCATTGAAGCTTGGCACCTATCATCTTTGCTTTTAAAATAAGCGTTAAAAACTAGCAATATTTAGAATCCTCTTTATTTCTCCCTCTAGTTTCTGGTAGCGTAGTGCCTAAGGCATTTTGACTGCTAACCAGAAGGCTGGTCGTTCAAACCCACCAGCTACTCCTCAGAAGGAGGACTGGGCAATCTACTTCCGTAGTGATACCACCTTGGAAATCCAAGGAGGGGTTGCTATGAGTCAGGACTGACTTGCTGGCAGTGAATTTGTTCTTCTTCTTCTTTTTTTTTTTTTTAAATTTCTTCAAGAAAAATAAATAAATCAACCAACAGTGCTGTCAACTGGAAACTCAGCTTCAAATTGCTTATTTTAGATTAGAATTTGAAGTGACAGGTTAGTTTTATAAATGCTAGTTGAATCTGCACCAGTCTTGGACAGTATCCAAGAGGCAGTGCTTCCTTAAGGATGGCACAAACCTCATGCTCTCACATAAATTTCTAGGATCCCTGGGCACACACCCAAGGACTATATGGGAACAATACAGAGTAGTGCCTACTTTGGGGGCATTCTACCGATGTGACAGAAAGAAAGGTGTTGGGTGTGGACAGGGGGCAGAGGGGGAAAGAAATGCACTACCTTCCATTTTGTCTGAAAAAATTGTCTTCAAAATCACGAAGTTTCTTTCTAATTCTTTTCTTTTCTTCTCTCATTTCCTGAAGGTGTTCCAAGAGTTCAGGTCTAAGAGGGCAGAGAATGTCAAGAAAATTACATTGAATCTAAAATCTTATAAGTGTAATGAATGTGCAACTCAATAGGGGTTATGGGGAAAGGGCTAAACATGTAAACACAAGAAAAAATTGAGGGAACTTTAGGGTCAGCAGAATGGATGTTTTCTATCCCTTGAAAGCCCAAATAGCTGACAGTGAAAATGGATTCCGAAGCTCCTGCAGGCTCAGATACTTACAGATTCTTAGGGCTTGTGAAATCAATCCCATGGCACTTGTCATATTTTGCTTTGAGAGAAAGAAATGACATCTGTGCTCAATGTGTGTTAAATTATGAGCTGTACAGCACAGAATCGCACAACGCCATTTATAGAGACCTTCTGGTTGTTTAAGCAAGATCTCAAAAATCTCCCTTAAATAATATAAGATAAATCAAATAAAAATACTGAGCTGGGAAATTAAAAAAATAATAATTTTATCCATACAAAGACACCCCATGTGTGTTGTCAGCCAACTTATTTAAATACAAAGGCTAAAAATGAAACTTAAGAGAGTTGTTTTCACTGAAACAGTTCAAGAACCACAACACAATGACCTACATTGAAGCAGCATGGAGATTGGAAAGCCCTGTGTCCTGGCCGCACTTTGATGGCATTTTGTCATCCATTGGGGAAATGAACCCGTCAGCATCATCTTCAAATTGGTCCAGAAAGCAATGTGCACTGAAATCAGTTTTCAGGGTGACTGTGAAGTCTGGCTTTGAGTTGGTATCGTCTTCTGAACCCTCTTCTTCTTCCTGGAGATACACAGCAATCCCAATAAAAATCTAGTTTCTCTTTCTGGCATTCTTCAAGCATCATTTAACAATCACCCTACTATCCAGACATCATATAAATGCATATTTCTAGTTTCTTTTATATCTTCATTTAATAACACATTTGGTACATTATGGATATATAATTGAATATTTATACATACAATTTAAATGACACACATATTAAACACAGCCACTCAGTAAGAAAATAGCCTATACAACATGTGTTCTCAACATTTAGCTTACAGCACTATTAACCCTTGCCCAGGCTGAGAGTAGGAAGAAACAACCATCATAATTTTAAATCCTAAATCAAATGACCAAAACAGCCTAAAAATTTCCCACTCTGTGACAGCACATTATAAAATCCATCATCACCAGACAATCAAGACTTTTTCTTGTGTACCTCAAAATAACCTTTTATTAAGCTATGAGCATTTTCAAAAATATAATCTAGCCTTCCTAAAGTATATTATTATAAATAAAAGCACATATTATAAATATTTTATGTTTGCTTGAATCACACAACTTTAGGAAACTTTTGAGAAGATTAAAACACTTTATTTAGCTTCTCATTACTGGGATCATAAAATTCATAATCTTTTTTTCCAAAGAACTTCCAAGGACCACTGTATCTTTTAGCATTCATGCTTCTAAGGAAAGTATGATACTGTCCATCTGTTCTGATGATAATGCAATTAGAAAAACAATGAAGTCAAACTAATTCTTAGTGCCAATTTGAAGCCATGTAAATCTAAGGACAAAATAACATGACAGACTGAAAGCTTTTACTGCCAAAATGAATAACAAGCCAAAAGAGAATATATTAATACCTTGAGATTCTCTTTGCTTGGTTCATGGAAGTCAATGTCCCATTAGTGATTTTTTAATATTTGAATTATTAAAAATTTACATAGAATACAAATGACTTTCAAATAATAATTCTTTATAATAAAGTTTCTCTTTTTTTGGGAGGCCTAACAATTCTTATCTGTGGAGGAGTTTTTGTAAGAATTAATTGAGATGCTTCCCGCCTGTGCATGCTGCCAAGAAAGCACTGTCAAAGCTTTTTCCTCACTGCTTTTACGTCTAAGTCAGAGTCTCCTAAAGAGCCTGAAGAGTTGCAGAAACTCTTCATCAGAGGGTTGAGCTTTGGAGCAACAGATGAGAGTCTGAAGAGCCATTGTGAGCAATAGGGGATATTCACGGACTGCGTGATAATGAGAGATCCAAACAGCAAGTGCTCCAGAGGCTTTGGGTTTATCACTTACTCTGCTGCGGAGGAGGTGGATGCAGCATGAATGCAAGGCCACACAAGACAGATGGAAGAGTTATGGAACCAGAGGGTTGTCTCACGAGGAGACTCTCAATGACTGCCCAGTTAACTGTGAAAAGTATCTTTGCTGGTGATATTAAAGAAGACACTGAAGAATGTCATCTCAGAGATTATTTTGAGCAGTATGAGAAAAATGAAGTGACTGAAATCATGACTGACCAAGGCAATGGCAAGAAGAGGGGCTTTGCTCTTATAATGTTTGATGACCATGACTCTGTAGATAAGACTGTCAATCAAAAATATCATACTATGAGTGGCCACAACTGTAAAGTAAGGAAAGCCCTGTTAAAGCAAGAAATGGCTGTGCCTTTCAGCCAAAGAGGTTGAAATGATCCTAGAAACTCTGGTGGTGGTCGTGGAGGTGGTTTTGGGGGGAATGAAAACTTTGGTCATGGATGAACCTTCAGTGGGTGAGGTGGCTTTGAGAGCAGCCATGGTGGTGGTAGATATGGTAATAATGGGGAAGATTATTATGATTTTAAGAATGATGGAAGCAATCTTACAGCTGGTGAAAGCTACAATGATTTTGGCAATTATAACAATTAATCTTTAAAGGGAGGAAACTTTGGAGCAAAATCTCTGACCCTTATGGTGGTGGAGGTCAATACTTTGCCAAACTATGAAACTATGGTGGCTATGGCGTTCAAACAGCAGTGGCAGAAGGTTTTAATGGCTGCCAGGAAACAAAGCTTAGCAAGAGAGGAGAGCCAGAGAAGTGTCAGGGAAGCTACAGGTTATAATGTATTTGTGAACATAACCAAGAATAGTGGTGGCAGGGCTCAGCTGCTACAAAAAAAAAACCAAAAAAACAAAAAAAAAAAAATAGACATGTTTTAGACAACACTCAGATGTATGAGCAAAAACTTCTAGTTTTTTTTTTTTGCATCCATGCTGCTGATTGCTAAATGTAACAGTCTCACCATGATGCTGAATAAATGTCTTAAATAATAATAATTAACTGATATAATGTGCAAAGTACTAAGGTAGCTGGCACCCAAGGAGTGCAAATAAGTGTTTTGCCCATGCATCCCCCTCCCTAGATGAGGAAGATACGGTGCAACTACTGACTATAAGCTCAATGGAAGCAAGGATTTGGGTTTGTCTGTTCACTACAGTCCCCAGAGCTTGGCTCATGGCTGTAAATAGAAGATACTCAATAACAGCTTGGTAAACAGTCTAGTAACTCAGTGTTAACAGAGTATTAAAGCCTAAGATAAGTCAGTAATGAAGTTACCAGAAGCACCTGTTGTTGTTGTTGTTATGTGCCATCGAGTCGGACCCGACTCATAGCAAACCCTCCTTGGGTTTCCGAGGCAGTATCACTACACAAGTAGATTGCCCCATCTTCCTTCTGAGGAGTGGCTGGTGGGTTTTAACTGCCAGCCTTCTGGTTAGCAGTCAAGTGCCTTAGGCACTACGCTACCAGAGCTCCCAAGCACCTAGATACCTTTAATGAAGTCAGTTGTCTCGGCCTTATTAAATTATGCTCTAGGTTCCTGAGAGAACTTAAAAATGTGGACTGCACCATGCACATAGTGAGCTCTCAATGTTCTCTGAGATGAAGCTAAACAAAACTACTCTCAGTAACCTTTGAAAATCAGGGAGGAAAAAAATGTCAAAATTGAAGGATCTTCAAATTATAAGACTATCAGGTTGTTGGGAATACTAGATAAATTCTAAGAAAAATGAACGAATATAATGTATGAGTCACAGGGAAAAAAAATCAGTGATCAATAGTGACTAGTACGGACTCCTTAAAAACAAGCATGAAAGGAAACCATTTTTCCTTTTTGTTAGGAATGGCGAAATATCTGGATTTCAGTACAGAAAGGGGTAGGCCAAACCTACCAAAGGGAAGTTGGCTGCCCAACTTTATGCAGAATGATGATGCAATGGTGATGAAAACCTGGAGGAAGCTCTACACCAGATCCTGCCTTATTCAGTATCTTACCAATCACTTGGATAAAGACATAAAAGGCATATTTACAAAATATGCATATAATACAAGGTGGGTAGGAATATTTGGTATAGTGGAATACCAAACATGCATTTGTTGTTGTTGTTGTTATGTGCCATCGGGTTGGACCCAACTCATAGCGACCCCTCCTTGGGTTTCCAAGGCAGTATCACTACAGAAGTAGATTGCCCAACCTTCCTTCTGAGGAGTGGCTGGTGGGTTTGAACCACCAGCCTTCTGGTTAGCAGTCAAGTGCCTTAAGCACTATGCTACCAAAATTTCCAACCTACATTTAATCTATCTCAAAAGGCTGGCAGATCAGTAAAAATAAATAAATAACAAATTAGAAAACTATAAGGGCCTATAATTAGGTTGGAGGGAAAAACACTGGACACATAGACAATTGATGCAAAAGGAAGCTGGGGATTGCGCTGGGATAGCACGGGGTGAGTCAACAATAAGACATGGCCTTGGAACAGTGGTTCTCAAGTGGGGGTGATTTTGCCCCTTAGGAGACATTTGGCAATATTTTGGAGACATTTTTGGTTGTCACAACTGGGATGGAGTGGTGCTGTTGGTTAACTAGTAGGCAGAGGCTAGGGATGCTGGTAAACATCCTTTAATGCACAGGACAAGCTGTCACAACCAAAAAGAGCTTACAATATACTGACTGATAGTAATATGGTCATAGACTTGTGGAATTGAAGGGGATTTAGCTGTCCAGATCAGGGTCAGGACTAGTCCTGTGGTCTACCGTCCTGGTTAAACCATTTCTAGATAATGTCCAGTTCTGAATTTTAGTTTTTAAGAGGGGTATAGATCAACTGGCTGTGTATACATATAGCAGAGCCCCTAGAATGGTCTAGCACCCATGGCACATGAGGAACAGCAAGAACTTGGAGAAAAGATTTGTGTAGGTGGTGGGAGTAGGCAGGGCAAATGACTGTAAACATGTGGAGTGCTCTCAGGGCAGAAGCAGTGTGCTTAGTATATTTCACTCCAGAGGGCAAAATTAAACCCATTCTGTAGAAAGTAATAAATTACTAACACTAATGGGTATTATAATTTTTAATTATTTTGATTAATTGTGATACGTATTTATCAAAGTTATATATTCTAGAATTGCATATTATATAATTATGTTTTATAATTTTTAAATAATAATTAGAAAACTAATAATATAACACAAGTTTTTAGCTATTACTGAAGTCTTTATAAAAGCAGATTGCCCCATCTTCCTTCCATGGAGTGGCTGGTGGGTTTGAACCACCAACCATCTGGTTAGCAGTCAAATGCCTTAGGCACTGCATCACCAGAGCCCCTAAAATTAATAATATAATATAAATAAGTTTTTAGCTCTTATTGAATCCCAGTCCAAGTAACAAGCTACCTTTCTCTCCCCAGTGCTATAAACTTTTCAAGGCAAGGATGAAATCCCTTCTTAGGGACAGTGTCTCTATTCTGACAGCAAAGTTTTGGAAAAGATTCTTGGATAGGAGATTGACTAGATGAGCTCTAAGTTTCTTTGGGCTGGAAGACCTAGGCTTTTAGAACTTGATTTGGCTCTATTTAATATACAATCTGGTTCCCTCGCACAAGGATTTAAAACCAGGGATGGTGTATAAAGAAAATACTGATAATCTTCTTATCTGTATAAACACAGAATGCTGAATTGTAACAGGATTGCCAAGAATTAGTACAATCCAAATACATGTTAATAAGTCTGGCCAACTGGAACAAAACGAACCAAAAGACACTATTTACAAAAGCAATGTAATAATTGCAAAATTATCTGAAATTCTGATCATTATGTGATCCAGTATGAAAGTCATGCCAAAATATGCTTGTGAAAAAAACAAACTAAGCTAAAGAATAAAAATTGGAAGAATGTTCCCTTTTAAAAAGAACATTGTGAGTTTATCTTCAATTCATTTAATGAAGCTACTAAAGCATCATATTTTAAAGTGCTAAACAACACATTTTTATCTAGTCACAGTTTTACCGTATGCTCTTAACAGAAACATGCTAATTTTCATACACACAACTGCCCACATGTCTTTAGTCATAGTGGCTTAATTTTTGTGTAAAATAACCAGTTAGAGAAAATTTGTCTTCTTTCATAAACAAGGCTTATTGTTAGAAATTAACTCTAATTTTTAAGATATATTAGCATACTGGCCCATGTTTCCCAATACAGGTTTAAAGCATTTTCATAAAACAAGTTCTTCTCAAAATAATTTATACCATGGGCACAATCATTGCATAATAACTTAAAACAAGGCGTATCCAGTATTTTAAGATGGCTGAGAGGCAAGAAAAGGAATTGAGAAAATGAGAAAGAAGATTTTGTAGCATATGGAGCCTTACCTCAGTTACAGTGCTGAGAATCAGGCAAGAAAATGCAGAGGTTCTCAATTGATGTCCCTCAGTGGGAAAGAAGCCCTATATTCTGAAATAACCATTCCTACCTACAGTAAATAAATAACGACCCAGCCAGCTCAGAATTATCAGAGAAGGAGGACAAGCAGAACTCTTAAAACCCACTTCTGCTTTGGGTTTAACTCTCCCTTCTGACTTTAAACAACTGCTTAAAAAAAGAAGAAGAAGAAGAAGAAAAGGAAATCTCCGACTCTAAAGCATCGATTAGCTGATTCTTCACCCTGGAATTCTGTATAAGGCGTCCAGCTTGTACAGTTGTCTGCAGACAACAACATGAAAGAGGGCGACCCTAGTACAGGCCAGTGAGGCCTCTAGAAAGAAGCACTCTGATCTACGGCCACAGATTACACAGCCAGTTCTAGCAAAAGTAGCCACTGGTTGAAGGGATTATCTATGCAAAATCCTTAATTACTGCTGGAAAAAAAAAAAATCAGAGCATATGTTCTAATATGTGCTGGTCATAAGCACTATATTCACAGATGAAGAGTGGATTGTAACATCAGAACTGAAGAATAAATGTGCCAGGGAAAGGCAAGGACAGGGCAACAGGTGAAATTTCATGAACAAATGTGCCAGAGAGAACTAAAATATTTGTCTATAAAATTATACTTTGTGTGTGTGTGTGTGCGTGTGTGTGAATACCTGTTGCTGTCATGTTGATTCCAACGCATAGCAATCCCATAGGACAGAGTAGAACCGCCTCAAAGTGTTTCTAAGGTTGTAAATCTTTATGGGAGTATATTGCCACATCTTTCTTCCACAGAGCAGCTGGTGAGTTCAAACTGCTGACCACTTGATTAGTAGCAACTATGCCATCAGGCCTCTCTCTCTCATATGTTACTTTTGTTTTTCCATAAACTCAAAAAAACCAAAACAAACTCACTGCCATCAAGTCGATTCTGACTCATCGCAACCCCACTGGGTTTCTGAGGTGGTAAATCTTTACAGAAGTAGCTTGCCCCATCTTCCTCCCACAGAGAGGCTGGTGGGTTTGAACCACCAACCTTCTTATTACCAGTCAAATGCCTTAGGCACTGTGCCATAAGGAGCTCCTTTCTATAAACTCAGTAAATATAATTTTTTGTTTTTAAATGTTCCCAATTAACTAATTTAACCAAATTTTGGAATAAAGAAACTCCATTCCCAATGAGTTAATTATAAAATATCATTAACATATCTTTATGAAAAAAGCAAAAGAAAATAATGATCTTTGAAGCAAATAAAAGTTAAAAAAAAATAGAAAGGAAAAAGGTGGAATGAAATGAAAATAAGGAAATCAGCTGGTCTATGATATAAATCAACAGGGACTGTTCAAAGTGGTTATATGTAGCTACCAATCTTGAGGAAACACAAGAAGCCATCACCGAAGGGCCCAATTACAACCCCTTTCCATTCACAGGGGGAGGAAGAAGGCACTGATGCAGATTTAGCAATGGTTTAGCAGCTGGAAGTCTTCACCTTTATCTCCTTGAAGAAGGAAGCAGTTTCGCCCTCGATAATTGGCTGCAGCAAAGGGCTTCTCCGCTTGCTGGAGGGGGATCCCTGTGACAGGGGTTAACAAGGAGGTTACATTGCGAATCCCTTCTCTTACCCCTCAGATGTCTCTGCCTCCTCTGACCTCACCAGTATTTTGTACCATCTTTTCACTCAATACCCTAGCCCTTTCCCCAAATTATTCCTAGGAAAACCTGAAACAGGAAAGTTCCTCTCTAAAATGCTGCTTTACACCAAAGCCCACACACACAAACCAAGGAGGGCACATTAGCTTAAGAACAGTACATTAGCACCTTCAAACACTGAAAAACGTGAAGAGAAACACCTGCCTCCCCACCTGCTCTCTGCCCCAATCACAAATAACTGCAAGAACACTAACTATTATAAACTGAGAATAATGTAAAATGATGAAGCAATTAAAAGGTTCTCTAATTTCTGTTGTCCATTTACTCTATTTAAGAACATTAAAACTCAAACCAAAGCAAACCCACTGTTGTTTGTTGTTGTTATGTGCCCTCGAGTCGGCCCGACTCATAGAGACCCCTCCTTGGGTTTCTGAGGCGGTGCCACTCCTTGGAAGGAAAGTTGGGCAATCTACTTCCATAGAGATACTGCCATAGAAACCCAAGGAGGGATCGCTATGACTCGCGTCCGAGTTGATGGCACATAACAACAACATCACTACGGAAGTAGATTGCCTAACCTTCCTTCCGAGGAGTGGCTGGTGGGTTTGAACCACCAGCCTTCTGGTTAACAGTCAAATGCCTTAGGTACTATGCCAGCAGAACTCCCTAGTTGATTCCAAATTGGTGACCCTATAGATCAGAGTACAATTGCCCCATAGGGTTCCCAAGGCTGTAAATCTTTATGGGAAGCAGACTGCCACATCTTTCTCCACAGAGTGCCTGGTGGGCTTGGACCGCTGACTTTTTGGTTAGCAGCCAAGTGCCTTAACCAATGCACCACCAGGACTCCTTATTTAAGGATACTTAGGGCTCCTAACTGGAGATGAAAAAGATTCCTTCTTTAATCATTTTCTTAGATTACTTATTAATTTATTCTGCAGAAAATTTCCAGAATTGCTTTCTTCAAATATGCTTGCTTGAGGTCTATGAACCCTCCCTCATTCATATGAACAAGTACACAATTACAAGAAATATAAAGACCACTTTTAGGGCTAGAAATAAATAGGAAGGGCTAGATAAGAGCAGCAGTTAAAATGAATAAGCACCTCAATAAAAATGAAATTAGAGACACTGCCTCGGAAACCCAAGGTGGGGTCGCTATGAGTCACATTCGACTCGACAGCAGTGAGTTTAGTATCTGCTTATCAAAAAGCCTAAAAGCTGGTAGAGGAAAGTTCCAAGGTCCCTATAGATGAGAGCACTGACATAGGGGGCAAATCATTCCCAAAGAGATGGTCAGGATGTTAACAACCCACCCATACACCAGGGAGTGGAAAAGCCAAGACCATTAAGGGATGAGCGCCAGCTGGCCAGTGCCTGAAAGGCTATCCTGGAGCTGAGGCAGGTTGCCGCTCCTCACTCTCCACGAAATAAAAATATCAGGGAGCCCCAAGCCAGCTAAGTGCAACTTCACAATTATTAGTTTCCCTTCCTTTTTTTCCACTCCCTATACTTCCTTAGGAGCTCTGGTAGCATAGTGCCTAAGGCACTTGACTGCTAACCAGAAGGCTGGTGGTTCAAACCCACCAGCCACTCCTCGGAAGGAAGGTTGGGCAATCCTACTTCCATAGTGATACTGCCTCGGAAACCCAAGGAGGGGTCGCTATGAGTCGGGGCCGACTGGATGGCAAACAACAACAACAACAACAACATACTTCCTTATCCTCCCAGAAGAAAAGGGGTTGGATTTCTTAGTGGATTTTCTCCTTTGATGCAATTCACATGGGGGTTATCCCCTCTCTTGGCCAGAGTGAGAAGACTATTAACAGAGGACCCTTAAGATCAGAGAGGCATTCTCTGCAGTGGGAGAAGCCTAGAGAAATCACAGCCCTTATCCACTTGATGCATGTCTTTCAAAAGGGAAAAAATTCTTTCTGTTTCAAATTTGCTCATTTTCAGCAAATGTACCCTCAGAAGTCTTTGATAAATTCTTTATTTCTCAAGCTTGCAGGACATAGCTGTCAATGGCTGGTTCAACTATAACAGCCCATCTTTAATGAGAAATTAGGTGAGGGCCTACCCAGGACTCATTCAACCAGGTAGTCAACAACAGAAAGGCTGTACTCACAATGATTGGTATGGTGTTGGCTCGGGACAGGATCTGTTTGACCAGCCGATACCGGTCATAGAGTGGCTTCATCACCTGACGTTCATTCTTTGTTACCTGAAAATTAAGAACAAGAGCACTGAGACAACAGCTCATAACGTTCATACTACCAGCTGTCCAAGTAGGCTCTGGCCTTGAAGTCTGGAGTTTTGCCATTCTTACAATATTTGTTTAAACTGACAGTATTACTTACCAAAACCAAAAACCCAAACTCATTGCCATCGATTCGATTCTGACTCGTAGCGACTCCCTTTGGGTTTTTAAGGTGGTAAATCTTTATGGAAGTAGATTGCCTAGTCTTCCTTCTGTGGAGTGGCTGGTGGTTTGAACTGCCAACCTGCTGGTTAGTAGTTAAAGGCCTTTAGGCACTATGCTACCAGAGCTCCTTGACAATATTATTTAATCAATAAATATTTAATATATCTACTTCAGCTTGGGATCGCTGGAGATCACTCCATCAGTAGTATTGCTCTTTCTAAAATAAAACTATGATCATTATTAGTTCCCTGCTTAAAACTCTTTAAGGTTCAAGAATTCTAAGACTATTTACTATTTTCTGGCTCTGGGAAAAGAAGAAACCATGCATTTCTACTATATTACTTATTCTTACTTATTCTTGCAAGGCTAGGCCCCAAGCCCCCTAGAGCCAGGAAAGGGAGGAAGCAGGAGAGGCTGGGGACCTCAGGAGCAGCAGGATATCAGGTAAAGGGGAGGGAGTGGCTAGGGACCCCAAAGTGGCAGGTTCTAGGTAGGAATTAGGTAAGAGGAAGGCGCAGAGGTTTCCAACAGCTAAGGGAGACAAACTTGTCTGTCAGTTTGTCATCCTGTGGGGCTTGTACATTGCTGTGAGGCTTAAGGCTGTGCCACTGGTGTTTCAGACACCAGCAGAGTTGCACTTGGTACACAGGTTTCAACTCAGCTTACAGACTGAGACAACTAGGAAGAAGGAGGAGCCCATCCACTTCTCAAAAGTTGGCCAGGGAAATCCTTATGAATAGCAGAGAAACACTGTCTGATACATAACTGGGCAACTCTATGAATAGCTTGGAAACATTGTCCCACACAGTGCAGGAAGACGAGCCCCTAAGGTAGGAAGGCACTCAAAATAGGACTGGGAAAGAGCTGCTTCATCAGAGTAGAACCAACCTTAATGATATGGATAAATAAGTCTCTCAGGACCTCCACGTGCTGATGTGGCATGATTCATATTGAGGAGAAACAGCTGAAACATCCATTAATAATCGGAACATGGAATGTACGATGTATAAATATAGGAAAATTGGAAGTTGTCAAAAATGAAATGGAACATATAAAGATTGATATCCTAGACATTACTGAGCTGAAATGGACAGGTTTTGGCCATTTTGAATCAGACAACCACATGATCTACTATGCTGGGAATGACAAATTGAAGAGGAATGGCGTGGCATTCATCATCACAAAGGATGTTTCAAGATCTGTCCTGAAGTACAACGCTGTCAGTGATAGGATAATATCCATATGCCTACAAGGAAGACCCATTACTATGACTATTATTCAAATTTACCCACCAACCACCAAAGCCAGAGATGAGGAAATTGAAGATTTTTATCAACTTCTGCAGTCTAAAATTGACCAAACATGCAATCAAGACGTGTTGCCTATCACTGGTGATTGGAATGCAAAAGTTGGAAACAAATAAGAATCACCAGTAGCTGGAAAACTTGGCCTTGCTGACAGAAATAACGCTGGAGATTGCATGATAGAATTTTGCAAGACCAATGACTTATTCATTGCAAATACCTGTTTTCAACAACACAAGTGGTGGTTATACACGTGGACTTAGCCAGACAGAGTACACAGGAATCAGATAGACTACATCTGTGGCAAGAGGAGATGGAAAAGCTCAATATCTTCAGCCAAAACAAGGCCAGGAGGTGACTGTGGAACAGATCATCAACTGCTCAAATGCAAGTTCAACTTGAAGTTAAAGCCAATTAAAACAAGTCCACGAGAGCTGAAATGAGACCCTGAATTTATTCCTCCTGAATTTCGAGACCATCTAAAGAATAGATTTGATGCATTGAACACCAATGACTGAAAACCAGAATTGTGGGATGACATGAAGAACATCATCCATGAAGAAAACAAGAGGTCATTAAAAAATACAAGAAAGAAAGAAAAGACCAAAATGGATGTCAGAAGAGACTCTGAAACTTGCCCTTGAGTGAAGAGTAGCTAAAGCAAATGGAAGAAATGACAAGATAAAAGAGCTGAACAGAAGATTTCAGACAGCAGCTCGAGCAGACAAAGCCAACTACTATAATGAAATGTGCAAAGACCTGGAGTTAGAAAACCAAAAGGGAAGAATATGCTTGGCATTTCTCAAACTGAAAGAACTGAGGAAAAAATTTAAGCCTCGAGTTACAATACTGAAAGATTCTATGGGCAAAATATTGAATGATGTAGGAAGCATCAAAAGAAGATGGAAGGAATACACAGTCACTGTACCAAAAAGAACTGGTTGATCATCAATTTCAGGACGTGGCATATGTTCAAGAACCAGTAGTATTGAAGGAAGAAGTTGAAGCTGCACTGAAAGAACTGGTGAAGAACAAGGCTCCAGGAATTGATGGAATACCCGCTGAGATGTTTCAACAAAAGGATGCAGTGCTGGAGGCACTCACTTGATTATGCCAAGAGATTTGGAAGACAGCTACCTGGCCAGCTGATTAGAAGAGGTCTATATTTGTACACATTCCAAAGAAAGGTGATCCCACAGAATGTGGAAATTATCGAACAATATCATTAATATCGCATGCAAGTAAAATCTTACTGAAGATAATTCAAAAATGGTTGCATGGCTCTTCTTTGTATTTTCAAATCTGGCACAGGGTTAACAATTTTCACTGAACTAAAGGACAGATTCTATAGGCAGTAGAAACCAAGTCCAACTCTCTGGTGCAGTATTTAAAGGCACTCATTGGCTAGCTAACCAACCTCATTATTTGCTGCTCCTCCTCTTCCTCATCATACTCAGGCTCTAGAAAAAATGAACTAGCCCATCTCTTAGCTCCTTGTGTAGTTCCTTCTGCCCTGAAATGGTCTCTTCTTTGCTTTTTTGGCAAATTACAGATCAAGAGCCACCTCCCCCTGTGAAGCCTTCCTCCAACATCCTCTTTTCTGGAAGGTCCATTCATTCCCTCCTTTGTGTCATCACAGCACCCTGTGTGCACCTTGTAATCTCACTGACACTTTTACACCATATAATATTTATTGGCACATCTGTCTCCTTCTTACCTCTTTAGACTGTAAGCCCCTTGAGAACAGGAATCTATGTTTTTGTATCCCTAGCAGCTATTTCAGTGTCTGATATAATCGAAATATCCCATAAAGATTTGTGAAATAACTGAATGGATATTTCAAACATAAACCCACCCACCACCACCACCAGCTGCCACTGACTTGATCTGGACTCATGGTAATCCCACGTGTATCAGAGTAGAACTGTACTCCATAGGTAGATAGGCCTAATTCAGGGGTGTGCATCTATTTTCCTTAGATAGAGAATGAGATAAAGTATCTTTGCATCAAGTTTGCATTTGTCTTCAGAATTTTATTTCCATTCCATCCATAATAAAGCAGGAGTTATAGAGGTAATAAATAATAATAATAAAAAAGGTAGGGGAATGGCAAGTAGAACTGGCTTTGATCATTTTTCTTATATGCCTTTTTGGCCTTCAACTTTGAAGGCAACCCTGGATTATGTATAGAGCATATATAAACTATATGTATAAAATATAAAGTAAAATATTTATAAAGTAGAATTGTCCCATAGAGTTTCCAAAGCTGTAATCTTTACAGAAAGTAGCTCTGGTTATATAGTGATTAAGTGGCTGCTAACCAAAAGGTCCATGGTTCGAACCTGCCAGCTGCTCTGTGGAAGAAAGGGCAATCTGCGTCTGTAAAGATTTACAGCCTTGGATATCCAATGGGAATTGCCATGTGTCAGAATCAACTTGATGGTAGTAAGTCTGTTTTTTTCGGAATCTTAACAGAAGCAGATTGCTGTATCTTTGTCCTGTGGAGTAGGTGATGGGTTCAAACTGCTGACCTTTTGGTTAGCAGCTGAGTGCTTAACCACTGCACCACCAGGGCTCCTTAGAAGTCAAGGTAGTGGTTTTTACTTGGTGGCATCTGGGAGGGGATGGAAGAAGGGTGGGATAGACTGGAAGGGGCTTGAGGAAAGCTTCCAGAGGATTGGTAATATTTTGCTTCTTGATCTGGGTGCTGGTAATGCTATGAAAATTCATCAGGATAAATAATTATAATTTGGGCTCTTTTCTGTATTTGTATTAAACTTCAATAAAAGTTCAATTATAGTCACAAGTAAGTCTGAGGAATAGAAATGAAGTGGCTTGCACAATGTCACATGGAAAAGGATAAAATTTAGGACCAGAACACAAGAAATAATGTTTTAATACAAGACATATGCAATAAATATACGGAAGGTGAGATTAAGGCACTTTCTAACTGTTGCCACAAGACATGGTGAAATATAATATGCAATGAAATATGATGTGCATGATAAACAACAGACGTTTTGAAGAAATACTTCTACTAATGATAATAGTAACAAGCCAGAATTTCCCCACTACAGACCAGTATGCTAGTACTAATTATTTGGCAGAAGCATCTCTGACTATAGAAGGAAATTTAGCTTGCAAAATTAGCAAAATAAGACAAATTTGAAGAAAACAATTTCCTTTCTAAATTTTTGTTCAAAAATGTAATCTATTTCAAGTAGATGAAGAAGAATGGTGGTTAAATTTTTTGACTGTGATAGTAAGATTTAATGTTTACCTATGTTTTATTATCTATTTAAAGACATTCAACTGCATGGATTATAACAAATGATGGATATTACTGCAAAGAATGGGAATTCTAGAACACTTGTGTCCATAAGGAACATATATATAGACCAAGAGTCAGTCCTTTGAACAGAACAAGATGATACTGTGTGGGTTTAACACCAGGAAAAGTGTCTGGCAGGGTTGTATCCTTTCACCATATTTATT